AAAAACTGAGACAGAGTTTTCAGGTTCACAATCAGAAAGAGGATGGAATTCTTATCTGAGGCCTCAGTTTTGGCCATCTGAGATACTCTGACGCAGGTCAAAATGATTAAATACCAGAGCTCCGTATGGACTCAAATTTTTGAGTCCAGTCCAGTCCATGGACTAAAAAAGTCTAGTCCAGTCCAGTCCAGTCCAGTCCAGTCCGAGTCCATGAAATCCAAAAAATCTGAGTCCAGTCCATACGGAGCTCTATTTAATACTTAGATCAGAAACTTTCGCATGGAAGCTCCGTGACCCTGTCAAAGATTATTTCAGAACTCCCGAACGGAAAGCAACACAGAATTTCTGAGCCTGTCTTCGAAAAGAGCACAGAATACCGGTTCTAATGCATAGATTCCTACTGGCTGGAACTACTTCCAAGTGATCCAGAGATGAGCAGACATTTTGTCCGCAAACTTTCGGATCACCCGTTATCTGGCATGAGTAAATACTTTCTTTTCTCAATTTCTGAAACCATCCCTTCCATCTCTTGATACAACACACATGATAATTATAATATCGTCTCTTTCCATATATATTCCTGGCCAAACGAACGATTCACTGAGTTCCACAAACTTCACACAAACGTTACGATACAAAAAAAGGTCGAAATAAAGTAGCAACTACACTTACCCGCTTTATTGATACGCTTGTTCTGTTTGAGTTAGATGATATCAAAGGAAAATTAGACAAAATAGTGCATATATATAATTCGAATAAGCTCACTAGAAAGCTATTTTCTAATACAGAAAAAATATATAACACATGATTAGAAAAGAGAAAAGAGCTTATTTCTTAGATAAGATTTATTTTTACTAAAGAGCAGGATATCACAAAAAGAAGAAATAAAATCTTGTGGCATCCGTAGATACCCTGTGATAACCTAAAACTAAAATTTTATAAATATAAATAAGTAAACAAAATAACATTATTAAAAGCTTGAGTAACCTCGCAGCATATTTTTGAATGTGGCTAAAGAAGTTTGAGAGGCTAAAACAGAAGGTAGTTCATTCCAATCTTTTGAGGTTCGCGGAAGAAAAGAGCTAGATGCAGATTTTGACATTAAACGAGGAACAAACACACGACTACTTAACGCTCATACGATCGGTTAATTAGGTTATTTGAATTTAAAAACGATATGTTGTTAGAACGATACACCGACATTTCCGCGAACGACATTAAACTTATCACCTATGATCTATGTCGACATAGTTCATGAGCGGATGTTGACAGAGACCGTACGAAAATTTTTCAGTCGCTAATATAGCTGGAGGAAAGATTTCTGTGGTTTGTGTTGACATAATGGCGGTTCGCGCTAATGGCGTGTCACGGGCTAGAACTGATCTGTTTTAAAAAAAACGTTGGCAGATCACTTTTAAACTACCACCAAAACAAAAGCTGCAAAAGGTTCATTGCAATCTTGAACATTCAGCTACTACAGATAATAATTCAATGAATGATAGTTAAGGATATCTAAAAATAGTCTGATTTTATCCAGAATTGTTTATCTATCTTTTAGAATTTTAGAATAAATAAAACACTATTTGGATTATGCGGTGTTTCTAAGGGTTTTCTAAAAAAACTAGGTTTCTGATTTTTGAGTAACATTTGACAAAACTTTTGATCATATTTTTGAATTTCGCATCAAAAACTGGTTTCGATTTCAAAAGTTTCACATTTTCAACTCTTAGGCACAAGAAGAAATAAATCGATCTTTGGAGGGTCTATGCCAGGGGTATAACCGGTATCAAAAATGCGATACCGGTACCGGCCACCGGTATACAAACTTCGTACCGGTATCAACCGGGTACCGATGACCGGTTTACGGTACCGGCTTGTCTTGATCATATTTCGCCTAAATACAAATACTTTTTCCTTGTTTTTCTTTACTGTGAACTTTATTTTATGTTATCAAAGGGATCCATTAATCTTTTCACTTTAATTATGTATAGCTTTATTTTACGAAAACAGCAATCCAATTCAATCTTTCAAATTAAGAAGTTTATGTAACCCGACAAAGCTTAAGTAATTGGAATAAAATTTTAGTGGAAGAAATATGTCACAGATGAACTGGATTTACACGATGTTTTTCGAAAAAAATCGTATGATACCGCAAAATACCAGCAATACCGGTCGACTGATTATACTTCATACTAATGCCAGTATACCGGTCGGCATTATATTCGTACCGGTATCGGTTACAGCTCTGATCTATGCGGTTCTTGAAACCTGTGCCCCGGCTGATCCGAACTTGTTTTAGCAGAAACGTTTTACCATATATAGTGAAATATATGTTAAAAGTGTCAGCTCTCAACTCCGGATAGTTTTTGAGAAAATAATTTTTTTCTGAAAACATCACGTTTCTCATCTCAGATCTCGGTGACTTGCGACACCCATAACTCTTGAATAAAGCAGTATCAAAGTCTGCACTTTTAATCGTAAACTTTCAGTGACGCCTACTAGGTATGGTAAAAATCTCAACTGAATCGGTTAATTTCAGTATAACCACTGGTCTGATCCTGTCAGAAAGGGTTTGTTAAGTTAGACATTAACGGTAAACTGTATGGACAGATCGTTACCTTTGTACGTATATCCAGATGATGATAGTAGAAAATCATTCTCAACAAGGTTATGTGTCAGCTAAATAAGCCGTCGAGATGGTGTTTACTTTCTTTTCTTGATAAAGACATCTCCGTAGTGTTGCCGTCAAAACAGTTTTTTAATTTATTTTATCCTATTTCTAAGTTGTTTATTTGTATTATCGAAATGTTTTTTGACGATACGTATTTTGTTAAAAAAACGACAGAGAGCAACTAAAAGACACAGCTGTCCTACTTTCAAGATTGTGTGAAGAGGGAAAAGTCTAGTTGTTCCACAAGATTAAAACTGAATCTAAGATCTAGAAGATTTTACTCCTTTGGGAGAGCAGTATTTTGAAAAGAAATGCATTCAAAGGATTTATAGTGTTCATAAGGTTTTTTAAATTATACGCTCTTGGTTGCGACCAGTCAAAACCAAAATAAACATTCATTATGTATTTAATTTTATTTTTTACTAACCAGGGCGGAAAATAGCTGCACCAGGCGTCGATGAGAAAGCAGAATCCTCAAGTTGTTGTTTTCTGTACTCTAAAATTAAATTGAAAGAAGTCCAAAAAGGAGAGAATTTTCAGGTGTGCAGGAAGCCTGAACGCAAGAGCTTCTTATCTGTAATAATAAGCACTAATTTTGTACACGAAAAAAATGTCGAGTAAGGGGCAGCGTAATTCATAAAACTCTATATTGGTACACTGTCTAAGACTAGCAGAAAGAAATCAGAAATTACTATCGCGTTTTTTGAATTTCTGAAATTTCAAAAATTCAGAATTAGCGGAAAGAACTCAAAAATAAATTTCAAGCTTTTTCTCAATTTAAGAACTCAGCAATTGAGAGACATTTTTTATTTTTTTCAATTCAGAGAATACAAAAATTCAGCCATTGAAAATATGGCACTTTATTAATTTCTTAAATTCGAAAAGTCAAAAATCCTTTGAATTTGTATCGAGCTGGTTTTAATACTTCTTGGAACTCGAGTTCAGAAACTCAGCATGCTGATTCTCGAATACCAACTCGACTAATATGAAGCCAGTTTGTAACCATGGTACGGCATGGAGCGGGTTTGAACGATGAGAGTGAACCACTACCTAACATTGAATGATACACTACAGTAGAAATTTCACCTTCAATTCCAGAAATCACAAATCCACGAATTAGGTGGATCAAGGTGGACTTCTTCAAGCTTCGACAGTTCCACAACAAATATAGGCATTTCTCAATTTAACTTTAGGGTTTCTAGCGATCATTAACCAACCGAACCGGAAAGAGGTGTGAGATTCTCCAATTCCAAGGAATCACGGCGGACTTTCATTAATTACAGAGATGAACTAGTTGCAAAATTCCTCGAAAAGATCTTGAAACCCCTTGCATTATAAACTACAACGAAGTGGAATTTACAAGGCTCGAATTCCAAATAAATTCCACTATAGAACCAGAAATTCCTCAGAGGATATCCCTTAGAAATTTGGAATCCAGGTGAAATTTCTGCTGTAGCGGATCATTCAATGTTGGGTACGCATAAACTGACTGACTACATGAAGACGAATGTTTACACAGTTAGTACCTGTGGTGGATAATTAGGGTTCACAGAATAAGAGGCATGTGTTTCCTATCCTCGTTGCTTATCTATTGCTCGTTGCTTATCAAGTCCGTTTGGTATCCTTCTTGTTGTTAGTGAGCTCAAATTAGTTTTTTATTACGATCTTATCTTGTGATGGTTCCCTTGCCCCAAGAGGAACAGAGAGGGATGCAGTTGTTTTCAGAAAGACGAGAGGGCAGAACCGATCATACATGTATACGCTACGGAACCTTCTGTTCCACAGCAGCCCATTTAATAACAAACCCTGCATTCAGACAGCATGATTGGGTAAAACTACCAAGGAAAGTTCCAATACAAAGTTAATTGTAGATAAATGTTACTTATGCGCAGTCATAGAGCGTGAAAATTCATATATATTTCCACCTTTTGTCACCATTGAAGAAAAATGTAAGAGCATTATGTGGGTCGTAAAGACACAACTCATATCCCCGCTAAACGTGTAGGAAAAAAATACAGCAATTGGACTTAAACTCATTAAACAACTGTCATGTAATGGAATCAGCACCACTTAAGATTGTTTGCCTTCCACAATTGCTAAATAACATTTATATTTACTTAGCAATGCGGTGCTGCTATCATCAACCCACAATGATCATCATCAACTTTTCTTGGTTATTCATTATTTTAACGCAAAAAATAAGCGCAGGTATTTTCCAAACACTTCACATCAAAAATCTCCTCACTCATTCTTACCGTTTCCCTATATAACAGCCGATCACTCAGCAGCATTTACTCACATCTGGCCAAGCAAGATAAACAGCATCGCGATGCGACCTGATATTCCCAAAAAGCAGGCAACCACCTATATTCCGAAAACCTCCGCTACCCCCCATATTTCCGATATACAAAACATCGCGAGCACGACACAAACAAAACGTTCCAACAATACTACCGCAACAAAACCATCCAACCTCATCTCGCAAGCGACACCAGAATTCTTCGACAGACAGCACGTCAAACGCATACTAAAAATACAAGACATCAAGGACACTTCTCCAACCGAAGGAACAACCGAACAATTAGACGGGATCTCAGAATCAGAACGCACCACTGCGGTTGCACAACCACCAGAATCCACAGAGATTACTGTACAGGACGGTACCACGAGTCTCACTGCACCAACGCTTGAGATATCAACTAATGACTACACCTCCATTTCTGAATCAAACAGAACCATTTCGACTTCGGAGACACAACAATCGTCAGCTACATCTGTACACGACAGTACCACTACACAACAGACCCAGGCGTCAACCGATCACTACGCGAGCATTCAGGCTCCACAAACTACCATTTCCACTTCAGAGACAGAACAACCGCCGGACACGAGCACCACTGTGACCGTACCAGGCACCTACACGTCAACCGACGATGAGACGAATATTTCACCGTCACAATTAGCCATTTCCACTTCAGCGACAGAACCACCGACGGACACGTCTGACGGAGATAGTACCACCACTGTGATTGTACCAGGCACTGGCACGCCAACCCAGGAGAACACGAATATGTCAACGGCAAAAACTAACATTTCAACTTCGGAGACAGAACAACCAACGGACACGAGCACCACTGTGACTGTACCAGGCACTTACACGTCAACCGACGATGAGACGAA